ACCTGCACGGGATGGTACGACCTTGGTACACGGCGTACACGGCTAAGTCAATAAACTGGGTGACGCAACTCACTAGCGCGTTGGATCGACGGAGAGCACCGATACTCGGCACGCTCTACCGTACTCTCTCGCTCGCACACCTCTCTCCCATAGACCACCGAAATTCCTCGGCACCCGTCAACACCGACGAAGAGCACCGATACCCTGGCTCGCTCTACCGCTCTCGCTCACACGCCGTGACGTCATCCGATTCCCGGAATCTTGCGGCGACGAGATAGCTCATTACGGTAAAGCATTCCCGCAAGGGAAATTGTCGGAAACAGAACTACTTTACAGCGAACGGACGGAAGACAATTCGTTTACGACCATGGTCCCTTCGATGATTTTCCGACATACCGAACACTTATGATCTGACAATATTGCGTACTTTGGACTCGACATACTATAGAAGTTAGACTAGTTGAGTTCGAATGGATTTAACGTAGTTCACAAAATCCCTGACTTTTTACACTATCGGTATTTCAGAATATGAGACACGAAGTCTATCCTATACCTAGTCGGTGCTAATACTCAGAATTCATGATGTATCGGTAACGTCGGGTATTGATACCGAAATGATAAGAAGGTTACATAGCCCTCCAAACGTGGGAGAGAAAATTACATTGCATATCAGGTCTACTCTATATCTTGTCTGTGCTTCTATGTACCTTGAGCACTTATTTTATTGAATCACCATTTCGACAGATTAATTTTGGGTAATTAGAGGTGGGGTGGTCTGCGATTTTTATTCTTCAAGTAAATTTTCTATTTTGAACGACGTAGATCATTTTATGTGATATACACACCGTTATTGCACAAAATTTGTTTATTACTCATCTCCATTGGTGCAGGAGCGACCAGCCAATACGTAATAGTTTCGAGAAGAACGTTTATAGATTAACCTCGTGCTTGTGAGAACGAAAAGTAGAAGCTGAGACTGGGGTTATTTATTGGAATGTTGTCTTCTGGCCGGTGATGTGTTATGCGGCGGCAATAAAGATAGAAACTACGAAATTTCATTATATTACGTGATAACCGAACGACACGATAGAAAATGGCTCATCAGCTGTTATTGTCAGCTACTAAATTGGAAAGATTCATATTCAAATCCGTATACAAAAATGCCGACACATTTCAGGTACCAATGTAACCTATCATAACCTATGCTTTCTATTATCATGCATGAATCGTTATCGATTATAATTGAAAGTTTCAAATTCAGTTCCTATTAACAGGTTTATTGAAAACTGCTGTACATTTGATTTTCTCTTTTTTGGTCTATTTTCAAACTGTAAAACAATTCACTTCAAACATACACATGAATAAAGAGTATCATTACTTTGTAGTAGACACATACTGGCTAGACTAACTGTAATTCATTTTAACATACTACTTGGACTGATATATTAAATTTTATTTTATAGAAAACTTAACTATGTGGATTGTCAATGTGTTTACCTTTTAATATTCTATTGCTTTTATGAATTACATATGTATATATATTATATCGTGTATAATTCATTTCAGTTACGTCGATACTTGTCATTAATTAAGAATGGCAATGAAACTACTGTGCTTGCACAGTTACAAAGACAGTGGAGATTACTGTGCGATCAACCACCAAAGGGATTCGAAAAGTATTATAGAGGTTGTTATTCCATTCTTCGTGATTTGCTGCATGTAACTTTAATAAGTACAAATAACGTTTATGTTTCGATTTAAAGGAAATGCCAAAAATTCCGCTAAAACTAATGAAAAAAGTAATGAAGAACCGGCCAAAGAGGCAGCCAAACCAAGAGTCAACCAATCGAAACACGAATCATCTAGTTCTCCACCTGGAAACAAAGTTGGTTTTGACTGGAAGTTTCTGGGCCGTCTGTCGGGGCCAGGAGGAAAGAAACCTTTTAATGAGACATCGAATGAAAAAACAATGTACATAGTTGGTTTATTGCTTGTAGTAGCTGCTTTTGCGTATCTTCAGGGCTTAGCAAATTCTGCAGTGGAAATCACATGGAGGGAGTTTATGTCACAGTAAGGAAACCACTTATTATTAACTCTCTAAATGAATTTACTGAAATCCATATGAATTACAATAAACTAAATTTATAGATGTTTAAACAAAGGAATTGTAGACAAATTAGAAGTTGTCAATAAACAGTGGGTCCGTGTGAAACTGTTACCTGGTCATAATTTACATGAATCAGTGAGTTTATTAAATCTGTTCTCTAGAATGTACCTTTATAAAGGCATGCAAAAGTATTGTATTATATGTAACAGTGTTGTGTTATATATATATATATAACAAGTGTATAGATATCTGATGAAATGTAATATATAAAAAAATGTTATGGTCCAATACTTGTGTATACCATTTATATATGGTATAGTTATATGATATATTGTTAGTATAACATACTTTGTAGGACACGTTGTGGTTCAACATTGGAAGTACTGAAACGTTTGAGAGAAACTTAGAAAATGCACAGATAGAATTAAACATAGAACCACAAAATTATTTATTGGTAGTTTACAAAGATGAAATCCAACTGTATCATATTTTGAAACTTATGCCACAGATACTGATGTGGGGTAAGTATACTTTTGCATATTTATGTGAAGAATGTGCATAAAACTTATTGTTATTTGTGATATACATTTCTTGTAGGGTTCTTCCTGTACATAATGCGAAAATCAATGCAAAGTTTGGGTGGTGGAGGTAAAAAGGGTGGGTTGTTTGGTTCTGTAATGGAATCGACTGCGAAATTAATTAATTCCAAGGATATCGGTGTTCGATTTAAGTAAGTTGTACTATAAACTATGTACAATGGTACATCACTACACTTTTCAGAATGTTCTCGAGTTGTAGACAATTTTTTTCTACTCTGAAAATTATTCTTTTTAACATGTTTTAGAATAATTTAAAGCATAAATGAGTAGATTGAAAACAAAATTTATAGAATAACGTTTAAGCGGATATAGAAGTGAATTTATAGTCTTAGTTTTATATTAATATAAATCTAGTCACAGAAAACATTTAAATGATAGAGTAGAAAATGTGTGCAATACGAGACATCTAAAGATATTGAACTTGACTTTGATAGCTTATTGTTACAATTTGCACAGATTATTGCGTATTGTTAAAATTTTAGGGATGTTGCTGGATGCGAGGAAGCGAAAATTGAAATAATGGAATTTGTAAATTTTTTAAAACATCCTCAACAGTACATAGATCTGGGTGCTAAGATTCCCAAGGGCGCGATGTTGACGGGTAAACATTTTCTCAGTATAGTTTATTTACTAAATGAGTATAGTATTTCATTTTTCACTATTTTTTATTATGCTACTAACCTGGGATATATTATAGGCCCCCCTGGTACTGGTAAAACGTTATTGGCTAAAGCCACAGCCGGAGAAGCGAATGTTCCTTTCATCACAGTGTCAGGATCAGAGTTTTTGGAAATGTTCGTCGGTGTTGGTCCTTCGAGAGTTCGAGACATGTTTTCCATGGCTCGAAAGCATGCTCCTTGTATATTATTTATCGATGAAATTGATGCTGTCGGTAGGAAAAGAGGGGGACGCAATTTCGGCGGACATTCTGAACAAGAGAATACATTGAATCAACTTTTGGTTGAAATGGATGGTACATACCACTGCTAGCTCTAGATATCATACGAGAGCGTACGAGTTTTGGCTGGTTTAGGGCCATTTTTGTAGCAGTAATCGAGGGGAAATCAACATCTGCATCACGTATCTCACGCATGCTCAGGCATCTTACGAATTCCTTGCTGACTCCGTGTTTAAGACAGCCAATTGGCTATTGTTTATTCTAACTTCATAGTCCCTTGATCAGCCAAGACCCATGAACTAGATATAGATTAATGTTTTCAGCATACTACTAGAATAATATATATTGTTCTTCAGGATTCAATACAACAACCAATGTAGTCGTACTAGCAGCGACCAATAGAATAGATATTTTGGACAAAGCATTGCTCCGACCTGGACGATTCGATAGACAAATCTTCGTTCCTGCTCCAGACATTAAAGGGCGAGCTTCTATTTTCAAAGTGCATTTAGGACCTCTGAAAACAACAATAGATAAAGACCAGTTAGCTAGAAAAATGGCTTCCTTGACGCCTGGTTTCACAGGTACGGAACTCTACCGATCAGTACAGGACAGTGTTAAGATTTATAGGATATTTTGAATCACAGAACGTGCAGCGATTATTTCGAATATGAGTGTTTCGATCACTGAACACTGCATAGAATTGTGGTGTCATGACAAGTTGCTTTTTAGTCATCTTTCACATTATGAATCTTAAGTTTACTTTTGAAGGGGATGCTGATTTGTCATGAGAAGATCAGTATATTGCACGGTCTCGTAGGTTTGAAAGTACTTATGAAACCTCGAACAGTATCCTTTGCGAAGAACAATACTAAAAGATTGCGCTTCTGCTGTCTGAATACTATACATGGTCTTTCTAGGGGCTGACATTGCTAATGTGTGCAATGAAGCGGCTTTAATAGCAGCAAGAGACATGAACGATAATATTCATCTAAAACATTTTGAACAGGCTATTGAAAGAGTTGTCGCCGGTATGGAGAAGAAGACAAATGTTTTGCAACCCGAGGAGAAAAAGACAGTTGCGTATCACGAAGCTGGCCATGCGGTAGCAGGCTGGTTTTTGGAGCACGCGGATCCACTTTTGAAGGTACGCTTTGTTTATATGATGGTATCTTTTTAGCCATTAACGTAAACCTATTAAGTGGTAATGTTATTTTTGTTTGAATATAACAGGTGTCCATAATTCCGCGTGGAAAAGGTTTAGGTTATGCCCAATATTTACCACGGGAACAGTATCTTTACACAAAAGAACAATTGTTTGATAGAATGTGTATGACGCTCGGTGGACGAGTGTCTGAGGAAATATTCTTCGGTCGTATAACAACAGGAGCGAAAGATGATTTACAGAAGGTAATACTCTACTATACAGAGCGAGTCGGGAGAAATAGAATACTTTTGAAACGCTGTTGGATTTGAAAATACGTGAAAATATGTAAAGAAGAGTTATATAGGTTTCTTCTAACGGTCGACTTTTCTGAGTTTCCAAGAGTAAACTGTACATTTAAGCTACATTCTTTGTTGTGCATCTTGCAGCGAAAAATGTGAGAACTTCGTCCATTAGGACGAATTACAATGTGTTCTGTGAAAGAGCTTTACAGTGACCTTCACCTAAAAAATTCAAGATCAAAGAATGGATTGAGATATGAATTTATTTTATTTGAATCGAGTTAACTTGTTCCTAATCGATTTAGCTAAATAACCTATTCTGTCTCCTCCGACTCACCCTATGTAGAATACTAATTGCATTTACATGTCCCATTTGCATCAACACAAAATACATTACCAGATAACTGCAAGTGCGTACGCCCAAGTTATTCAATACGGTATGAATGAAAAAGTCGGCAACGTTAGTTTCCAAATGCCTCAGCCAGGTGAAATGACTTTCGACAAACCATACTCTGAACACACTGCACAGCTAATCGACAGTGAAGTACGGGAATTAATAGAGAAAGCGCATATTCGAACGCATGTTTTGCTCACGGAGCACAAGGAAAACGTGATGAAGGTACGAGTTACAATTTAAAGATTACACGTCAGAAGAATTTCTAATTACACTGGATTTGCTTGTCTCCGATTAGGTGGCTGAAAGATTACTGAAACAAGAAATCTTAAGCAGAGACGACATGATAGAATTACTCGGACAAAGACCGTTCCGCGAGAAATCTACTTACGAAGAATTTGTCGAGGGCACTGGCTCGTTCGAAGAAGACACCAGCTTGCCGAAAGGATTGCAGGATTGGAACAAAACGGTAGATGCCGAGAAAAAGAATGAAGTAACGACTCCGCCGTCGGAGGCGGCCGCGGCTAACGCTCCGAAGGATCAACCGCAACAGCGATTATAATTATACAGTTTAGATTATAGTCTGCTAAGTACTTTGTATTATAGTTTGAAATATATAACTACATTAAGTAACAACACTAGAGTGTGCGTTCGATTGCATCGAATGTAACTGTATTCTTCTAAGTCGATGGCTGTCACATGTTTTTAGTATCACTTCGGATACTCTTTTTTGCGGAAAGTTCTATTTTCCACTTTTTTTTTTTAAAGCGTATATTACGTTTTCCACTAACAAGATCTTTCTCGAATAAACTGAACTGGAATGATTGAAAGAACTAATAAAACACTGACATCCTCGATGTCATAAAAATTTGTCACGCCGACGCATTTAGACATGTATTCCTTGTTATTCGCAGAACTTTTTATACGGTGTAACTTACTGGTCCTTTTATAAACGAGAATACCTAAGCGACGTAGGGAGATTTTAGACGGGTTAGGAATAAACAGGCCACGATTTATATTATTTTTTGCAACGTATAATTAATAAAGTTTACAAATGTAGTGCAATTAAACTGTTTCATTCTTAAGTAAGTACATTGATAATTTGTTTATGTTACTGCTTTTTTTGTCTCTAATTGTTTGGGCTTCGCTCTGGCGGAATTCCTGGTGCGCTCCAATGAAAATATATCACGTGTATACCATGTGTGTTGCGTGGGTATGTGTGTTTGTATGTGTCCGCGCACGTTTCCTTCTGTGTACATGTGTCAATTGAATCCCTTGTCTCTATTATATTACATCCTTAAAAAACACCAAACGAAAGGTGATAACAGAAACAAAAACAATTCTAGTTGCATTCCTTGTATACGAAGGCTCACATATATTTCTTTACGATAAAGATTGAAAAAGATTCAATACGACGAAGGTCCTGTGTCGATTAGGTTCATGGCGTTATAGGAACAAACTTTCGTCCTGGTGTGTTGAACACGATGATTTCAAATAATCTATTTACAATCCTTTTCAAAATTCAGTTACCCCTCGATCGAACAGTAATATCCAACAACTTCGATATATACAAAATGGTACATTAAACTTTGTTAACCACTATTTCGTATGCGCGAAAAATGAAATCATTATCGGTTACAAAACAAAGATGAGGTTATGAACATCCAGGGGAGGGGAATGTTTTAAAAGAAACATGTTCAAAAGGTGGACAGAACGCGTTCATGAATGTGGAAATGATAGAACCTTCGTCCGCGTTTTCTCTCTTACCTTCACACACTTCCTCTTTCTCACGTATTATTTCATCGTGTCAGAACATTCGAAAACGATTTCAAGAAGATAAGCATCGATTTAGACGTGGGCTGAAACAGATCCGAGCAATAGATGTGCACGCATCTCGCGACACATCCACTTATCAGTCTTGGGATTTCCATTGAAACTTTATTTTACGACCCCGAAACGCCCTTGGGAATTCTACGGTCTGGATGGTTCACGGTTTGATCGAGAAGTTCGCTCGTTCGTGTTTTTTTATTTTTACGCGCTCTCGTATCGCACCCTCGAGAAAAAGGTATGTTACGTACGATCAGGCGTTACCAATTCTGTTCCTGCACGGCAGTGAATTGTTTGGACAACGTTGAGGAAGCTAATCGAATTTTTTTTCCAATTGAACAGTTGAAACGTAGATACTTCGATAATTTTGTCGTACGAATATATTCGTTTGAAAACATCCGAATCGGAGGATGTTTGTATTTCGATCGTTTTTGCAATTTCAAATGTACAGTTGATGGACACGTTGAGTTCAACGATTTTCGAAACTTCAACGTTTAGGAATGTGGAATATTTTTTGCATTGAAATGTATGTACATATACAGCAGCTTGGTAACGACAGAGCGGAATATCTTCTCGATCGATTTTTAGATGGAGAAAAGGGTGTAAACTTGCTTCTCGACTAAAGTACAATCGTGAATGCATAGAAAATTCAGTTAAAATTCGTTTCGAGTAAAATTGTTCGGTATTGCGGGCTAGTTCAGTATAAGGATGGACTTAACGTAAATAATGTCGAATCAAGTGATCGAGTGTACTCTCATTGGTCCATTTCGCTTTGAACAGGAACGTTTGCGTTTGTAAGAAGTTTTGAGCATGAAACTACCAGCGCTTAAATGGTAGCAATATAATATATTTCACTAAATCTCCCTTCTTATCTTCGGTAAAATTGTTCGTGAATCAAGCAAAATCGACGAATCTGGTCATACATATGTAACCAGGACTATTACGTTTGGTGAATACTTCCAACATGGCTGCCTACGTCGGGAGTTATGTAATTCTTCTTACACAAGGTTCATCCTCATTTTGAACCAACGCGGATAACGGTACGGAATTGAATCGTTCGAAATTATTAAAAAAAAAAAAAAAAAAAAAAAAAAAAAAAAAAAAAACTCGCGCCTGTTCCGCCAATCGTTTTTACCTGTTCGAAAAAGGTAACCGCGATAAATCATTGATCCCAAGACAGCGTTTTTTTGTTTCTCTAGTTTTTTTTTTCAATTTTTTTTTTTGTTCCTTTCGGGTTTTCTCGTCCGATGTGGCCGCGTCGTCCCAGCGTTTCTACAAAACTATATACGACTTTATCGGGTAAATATTTATACGTTCCGAAATTTTTACCGTTAAACTTAGCACGCTAACTCACTAATCAAATATATCATACAATCACTAAATTATTGCTTTGTCGTACCTTGTATCACACTAATCTAAACCCTATTTTCTTTTCTTCTTATCTTTTTTTTTGTGTGTTTTCTTTTAACTCGCGTTTTCTCGTTTTCTCCGTGTTACCTCTCTCTCTCGGTCTTCTTCATCGTTTTCTCTTTTCCTTTTTGTCTACCGTACGCTCCTCTGGGAGCCAGGTCTCTGTGCGATGATCGTGTGGCCTGCTACTTTCTCGCGGACTTAACGTTCTGCTCCTGACGGATGCGGACAGGGCGGTCGAAACCGAAATTGAGACGTTTTAAAAGCCGTTTCTACGTGTAAATATTTTCTAGGTATATAGAGTTTATTGGATATATCGAGCAGTAACGCAAAACGCGACTGATTTGTTCTACATCGATATCCAGATGGCACATGACGTATAATGACGTCTTGAAGACGGCTTAAAGACGTCTTAGACCTAAAATAGCTGTAAAATAGGCGTCTTAAAGGCGTCATGTGCTATCTGGGTATCTGTGATACTTCGAGACAATACAAGTACTTGTAATATTCAAAAAACTAATGGCGATGTACAATGTCGATACATTGACTAGAATTAGGAATAAAAAAAAAAAAATGATTATATTATATACATATGATTGTACCACTTTTTAAACACGTGCATAAAGTCGAAGAATAACCAAAAATGTACTGATTTTCTAGTATCACAAAAGTATTGATATAAAATAGTCAACGTGTTTCCTCATTACAACTCGATAAGTTAATAAACAATATACACTCGAGAGTACTATTACTCATTTCCTTGCGTCAAATGACTACACTTCTTTACTATAACTTCAGCCTATTATCATCGAATAATAACTAGACTTGCATCGATTAAGACCACTAAAGTGATAAATGAATTAATACCAACAATATCGATATATTAACAAGTACTCACGAAAATTTTCCTACTTTCCGTGCAATTATTCGACGTATTTGTATATCGTTCCAATGGTCTAATTAATGTATTTCAAGAGTGTGAATAGTAACGATTTCGGTTTCGATTGCCTGCTGTTCTTCCATGTGTGTCTTTACCTCCTTCCACTCTGTTTTTCACTTCGGTCGGTTGACACGCTCGATCGTTCTCACGCGGCCGTGTAATACCTTGGGCGTGCACCTGTGTGTTGTGTATACAGGGTGTCCCAAAATAGTTGTAAGTCCTTGAAAGGGATGATTCTTGGGATGATTTGAAACAACTTTTTTCTTAGCGAAAATCTTATCCGAGGATTTCTTAACGAGATATTAACGAAAAACCCCGACCAATCAGAGCTCGGATGGCAGACTCGCGTTCTGATTGGTCGGGATTTTTGTTAGTATCTCGTTAACAAAGCCTCAAATAACATTTTTGCTAAGGAAAAACTTGTTTCACGTCACCTCACGAGTGACCAATTTCAGGGACGTCCAACACTTTTGTTACACCCTGTATATGTACCTGTGTGTGTGAAACGAGTCACGACGGGCCGGTAATGTAAGTTAAGCGTGGTCTCCGTATTTATCGACTCCTGCGTGGTGACTCGAGGAGCCCGGGGATCCAAATTATCGCGCCGTTGCCGAGCCCGTGGACCGCGCTCTAATTAATTTCGTAATTGGATTCATTAATGGATAACCTATTTCTTATCCTGACGCCTACGAGCCCATCCCCTACCACCCAGTCAGCTTAATTATGCGACGGATAATTCATTTTTCACGCCCCGTTTCGCTGTCCGTGAATAATTCCGTCGCGGGCCCAAGTATTTGGATAACCTTGAAAAAATTCTGCACATGATCGAACGACGACCATTGCAAAACTGTATATACAAAAAACCAAAAGCTATTGATCAGAATGATTTCAAATTATTTTGAAATAATATATTGACAGAAAGCTTCGGCAGAAAATTGACTTAACTTTGTTTCGACGAGTATACTCGTCACACGTAAAAGGCAATTTTGTTTCGTACGACGAGTATACTTGTATCTCATTTGCTTGTTTTTCAAAAGTGAAATATTTTTTCATATTTGTATCTTTCTGTTTTGCTTCGAAAACAGGATGAACTTCGTTCCGTTTTCTCTTAAATCTACCGTAAGAATATTCAGAGAAGCGTGCATTCGGTTACGAGACGAAACACGATATTCGACGGAAATGAACAATTTTGAAATTAATCAGAGGCGGTCACACCGTCGGTTTAAAGTGTCTCCTGTATGTGTGTGTGTGTGTGTGTGTGTGTGCACATTCGACTAAAACATACACGTACATATACATATATAATATCTCGGGTGTCTGTCCTAAATAATTAAACTAATTACATTTACGCGAACAAAATTCTTTGTCGCGTTGTTTTCGTTGTTCTTTTTTACCGTGTTTTCTCAAATCTACAGTTCCATTCTCACGCCTTAACCTCACTTTCTCTCTCTCTCCTCGT